ATCTTATTTATCACCATCTTGGAGTCCTTCAGGTTTGTTTTTAGCAAACTCCATGCGGGCTTTCATGTGTCTTGCACTGAGGAGAGGCTTCCGTCGGGCCACTCTGCCATAAAGCCCCGACTGGTGGATTGCTGCGATGGTTGACTTACTACAACTTTCTCCCATCTCCCGACTGCATCTCTGGAGCTCAGCCACAGTGACCTTTGGGTTCTTCTTTACCTCTCTACCAAGGCTCTTCTCCCCCGATAGCTCGTTTGGCCGGACGGCCAGCTCTAGGAAGGTTCTGGTCGTCTCAAACGTCTTCCATTTGAGGATTATGGAGGCCACTGTGCTCTTAGGAACCTTAAGGGCAGCAGAAATTTTTTTGTACCTTGGCCAGATCTGTGCCTTGCCACAATTCTGTCTCTGAGCTCTTCAGGCAGTTCCTTTGACCTCATGATTCTCATTTGCTCTGACATGCACTGTGAGCTGTAAGGTCTTATATAGAAAGGTGTGTGGCTTTCCTAATCAAGTCCAATCAGTATAATCAACACAGCTGGACTCAAATGAAGGTGTAGAACCATCTCAAGGATGATCAGAAGAAATAGACAGCACCTGAGTTAAATATGAGTGTCACGGCAAAGGGTCTGAATACTTATGACCATGTGATATTTCAGTTTTTCTTTTTTAAATAATTTGGAAAAATTTCTACATTTCTGTTTTTTTCTGTCAAGATGGGTGCTGAGTCATTACTGAGAAATAAAATGAACTTTTTTGATTTTTGGAAAATGGCTGCAATGAAACAAAGAGTGAAAAATTTAAAGGGTCTGAATACTTTCCGTACCCACTGTACATTTCAAATCTTGCTTTATTACAGGAATTGAACATTTATACAGCTACTATATACCATTTTTGTTTCATCTATCAAAAAGAAGCTGTGCTTTTGATCCAGGACCTCCTTGCTGGTAATAATACAGACATGAATCTGATCAACAGGTTGGCGTCTATGAACGTGGCTAATCCCTTACCTGACAGCATCACTGAATGGGGAGTCCTGGCCATTAGTGCATCACCCCATACAGGTAGGCTCAGGCGGAGGGGGAGGTCGTCGATAAGTATTAATAAACTTTAACTGGCTTCATAATTGTGTTACTTAAGAGGTCATATTATGCTTTGTGGCTTTTTTCTTTGTGCATGTAATAGGTTTGCAAATTGAAAAACTCCACCTCACGGGGAGTCTCCCATCTCCCACAGAAACACTGCTCAACTGTCTGAAAACAGCATGATTTTAGTCCAACCTTTTTTTCTGTTACTATGTTGCGACCCAATGTAACGCGCGTCACAAGGTCAGCGACTAATCAGGTACGCCCTCAAAAACACTGATGTAAAAACACACTGAGCTGCAGCGCCCAGTGACAAGATGTCCACCTGCTGCCACCCCTCATCCCCACTCTCCCTAACGAACGTTAAACAATCAATGAACATAAACTTGTAACTGTGATGTAGTGACAGTACACAGTTAAAACGTTACGTATGAAAGATCAATGTGTTGCAGAGCAATAACTCACCACTCTGAAACTCTTGCTCCAGTGTTGGTTGCTAAGCTGGTTCAGGAACATATACAGCTGAACCGAAGGAGTGTTTACATGCTTGTCAGGACCCGTCCTACTCTGCTTCTGATGCGCTAGTAGTCCTTAATTAGGTTCTGCGCATGTGCAACTCCCAACAAAGATCTTTCAGAAGTGAGATGCATCACTCCGTAGCTAAAACAGAGTGATCAACACACAGGGTGAATCAGAATCAGAAGAATAAGAAGAATCAGAAGGAGCTTTATTGCCAAGTAGTGTTTTACACATACGAGGAATTTGTTGCGTGATAAGGTGCTACACGTAGACAAACATACAGTCAACATAAATAAATGTAGAAATATATAAATATGGAATAGAAGAACAAAGTTGCAGATATATACATGTGAAAAGAGGAGCTGAAAATGAGCATAATGTGACCACTTAGAAGTGTGAAAGCACAATAAACCTAAATTATACAATTTCCTGAAAAAGCACTCACTTTGCAAAAAAGTTTGAAAACTCAAATCTCTAAACGCTAAGGATAATGGACCTACTACAAATGCTCATACACATTTATACATCCCATCACTGCAATGTACTTCTGAATGTCTGTAGGTTTCTGTGTTGCCGAGCCGTACAATGTCAGAGCATGGAAGCGTTTCTTTGTTGACCTGAAGCTGCCATATTCAGTGGCGAAGAATGAACAGGTCGAGATTAAAGCCGTCATCCACAACTACGGCTACGACGAACTGCATGTAAGAAAATCAATCAAGTACTGACACTTCCTTTCTTTTCAGTTGGGGAATTGAGTAAATATAAAATGCATTTACTACAATCGGAGTTGCCTGATAGATAAAACAAAACAAAAATCTTTCTCTGCAGAAGTTAAAACAAGACAGGGGTCTGCAGCCATACTAGCACCTCTGAGTCTGTTCTCAGCATGCTAACATGCTCATGATATTACTAACATGCTAGTTTAGCAGTATAATGCAAGTATAATGATCACCATCTTAGTTTACCATGATTGCATGCTAACAGTTGCTAAATAGCACTAAACAGAATGATAGAATGATGCTAGATGAAAAGTTAAGGGATCACCAAAGTGATTACAATTCATTCCAAGGGGAACGTGAGTGTGTGTACCAAAATTTGGCAAAAATATGGCAATCCAAAAGTTGTAGAAACACAAATGTCAACATTATGGTGGCGCTAAAGGAAAAAACAGGGGATGACCTGTCAGTAGGATTTATCCTCTGGGCACCATGAATGTCTTCACAAGGTTTTTTTTCCATGTAAAAGTTGTGGAGATATTTTAGACTTGACCAAAATGATAAAAGACAGAACGACCAACGATGCCATTCTCAGAGCCATGCTGCTAGCATAGCTAAAGATAAAATGCAGCGTCTATTCTCTTTTCATTGAAATACAATAAAATGAAATTAAATGCATTTGGTATTATGCTGTGACTGGTTCCTGTTCAGGTGAGGGTGGTGTTGATGAAGACGGAGGGCATGTGCAGCATAGCCTTTAAAGACAGACACACACAGGAAGTGACGCTGTCGGCCGGCTCTTCTGTTGTGGTGCCTTACACCATCGTACCACTGGTGGTGGGGAAACTTCCTCTGGAGGTGATGGTGGTCGGCAGAGACATGATGGGAGGAGACCGCATCCAGAAACATTTACGGGTGGTGGTGAGTCAGTCTTGATGATGAAGACGTCATGGCAGGATAATCAGGGTAGGATGTTAATGGGAGCCAGTAAAGATGAAGTGTCTTTGTTTTACTGAAACAAAGTCAGCAGCTAAAACAGAAAACCTGATATTCTGGGTTCTAAAAATGTGTTTCTGTAATCGAATGTCACAATAATTTTATTTTTATGGTACTTCTATGTCAACATTTTCTTTTTAGACATTATGCCAGAAATACATAAAATGTTGAAAATAGAATATGTATAAGAAGGTAATTAAAAGATAACACAGAATTACTTGAATAAATATCTGCTTTTACAATAAGTTTTTTGTCAACCCAAACAGGTGGATGGAGTTCAGAAGACTGAAGTATGGAGTGCAGTGTTGAACCCAGCTGCTGAAGGAGGTAAGGTAGCAGTAATGCTTGATTTCCTATTATCTCTTGGTAAATTAGGTCACATTGTGTCACCAATATGGGATTTCATGTTTACGTCCTTTCGTCTGCCCAGAATGAGCTGATTCAGCAGTATGCATGGTGGAGTTGTTGTTTTTTTGTGATCACATTTTTACTTTTTACATTTTACTTTCACACATTTAAACAAGGATTAGGCAGTTAAAATGTTCTCACAGTCCTCCAGGACCTATTCTGATGTGAACTACAAATGTCAGACTTAAATTGGGAAGGGTTTTGGGTTTGTGCAAAGTGTTGATTGGCCCAAAAGCATTCCAGAGTCTAGTAACGTAAGCAAAAGTACAAGAAATGAACAACTTTGACACGTCTTTATCATGTTGTGGATGCTGTGTTGTGGTTTTTTTTTTTTTTTTTTTTTTTTATGGAGATATGTATGTAGTTGACACAGGCAGAAACAGGTTGTTTTTTAATTTTGGGCAACAAAACACAAACTAAACTAGACTTTTTGATTTACTTCTTACTGACAAAACAGATTTACCACTCACTGTACTGTGTTGATTGGCTGGTGGGCCTTCAGCACTCCCTTTATTCTGATTAGCTAATGTGCTGCATAATTATGTTTGTGCTGTGTAAAAATGTAGGTTCTACCTTATAGAAAGACAAGGCCACTTTACCATAGGCTACTTGGGACATCTTATCCAGGTAGTTTCATTAGCTCTCTATTAACTCTCTTTCATTAGTCTCTATTAACCTGATCATGTGGAGCCACTTGCTAACTGGAAAAACCCACTCAATGCAATTCTGCAGACTGATAAGAGATTCACCCCACTTGATATGGTCTAGTAAGGTAAAGGTATGGAGTACCTTTGTAGCCCATATATTATTATTCAGTAGCTGCTAACCATACCTTACCTGGTGTGAGTTTGAAATTCAGTGAAAATAATGTCTAGGTTATTTTTGATCCAGTTTGCCCTTGTGAGTTTTTTTACAAGCTGTAATGTTCTTTCTGTGTGTTGCTGCCACAAAAAACAATAAATGCTTTTACGACAAGATAGACATCTGTAATGCTGAAACAAAGGTAATGCATATTTTTGAATGTTCCAGTTATGAGACAATTGCATTTTAATCACAGCTTTTCCATATTGGTGCACAGTTCAGTGTGATTACAGACACAGCAGGCTCTAAAAAATTAGACAGCAGTTTGGTGGTCACATCAGTAAAAACACTGTTACTACTTTTCTGGACTTAATGGCTGTGTTTTCATCCTCTGCAGGAGTGCAGACGGTTCGTGTGGGCCAGATCGAACTAGAGTCAGTTGTGCCGAACTCAGTGCCAGAGACATTCATCAATGTCAGAGGTCAGTCACTGACAGAGCGGTTATAAGGATTAAAAATAAATCTAAGAGAATGGATTGATTCCTGATTCTTCCTCTCCACTCCAGGTAATGTGTTGGCAGACAGCATTGATAACTCCATCAGTGAGGACTCTTTGGCCTCTCTGATCCAGATGCCTGGCGGCTGCGTGGAGCAGAACCTGGCCAGCATTACTCTGCCGCTCATCGCCACCCTCTACCTGGACCGAACCAGCAGCTGGGACAGTGTAGGGGTGGAGCGCAAGGCTGAGGCTCTCCGGTACATCAGGAGAGGTTAGAGAGAAGGAATGAATGCATGGATAAATTAATGGATGAATGAAGGACATCCAAAAAAGTAGGATGAATGATGAATATATAGCTGGAAACATGGGTGGATGGATAATTTGATACATAGGTGGATAGATGAATAGATAATTTGATACATGAATGGATGAATAATATGATACATTGATGTTGGATAGATGCACCAATGGCTCAATGGCTATTAGGAGGCACTGATAAATACATGAATCAGTGGATGATGGATACAGCAATGGATGAATGGCTAGTTGGAAGGATGGATGGATAGTTGGCTAGATTTGTAGATTGATGGACGAATGAATAGACAGGTTATAAATAGCTAGTTGGATACATGGATGGATGGGTGAATGGCTGATGGATGAACTGCAGCCTTGGTGGACAGATGGATGGATAGATTATTTTGGAACAAGCATTGTTTTCATTATGAACAAGTTAAGACGTCTCTCTCCCTTCCACCCCATCTATAAATTATTACATGTTCTGTGTTTTCAGGCTATGAGAACCAGCTAGCCTACAGAAAGAGTGATGGCTCGTACCCCCCCTACAGCAGAGAAGGCGCAAGTACATGGTACTGTCCTATACTGTATATACTGTATGTACGGATGGGTGTCAAATGAAAGGAAAAACCAACATGAAGTGTCTTAGTGTGGAGTCAGAACAGCTTTAGCGCTCCTTACCTGGTCTGTGGAACAACCTTATTTAATCAGACGTCACTAAATAGATCATGATGAAAGTTGATGATATATAATTTGGTTTTATGGAGATGGTAGTGGAGAGCGCTGAGATCAGGTGACTGTAAAGAACGTAACATTTTATTTAATAATTTACATACTGACCAAACCATTTACATTTATCTGACGCTTTTATCCAAAGCGACTTACAATTGCTTTACATGTCAGAGGTCACACACCTCTGGGGCAACTAGGGGTTAAGTGTCTTGGTCAGGGACACAATGGTAGATGGGTCACAGTGGGGGACTGCATTTGATATGTTTCTCCTATCTTTTATTCAGGCTTTACCTTTTATTCATCCTGTCAATCTATATATATACTTTTTTTTTTTATTAAATCTCTAAAACCCAAGAAATACTAGTAAACAGATTATTTCAGTTTCAGTGGATTTGGGGATTTCAAGTTATGTGGATTTTCACACGACTTCTCTGTAAAACCTATTAATATATCTGATTTAATAAAAGATCATTTGAATACATGCCACATTCTGAAATAAAATCCTGCAGAAAAGTAATGAAAAGGTCAGTGACCAGTCAGTGGTATAAGTTAAATAATGTGTGCTTTAAAGTGACCAAATGTTGGCTAATCACAGTCCACCTGAATGTCAGGATCACAGCATACGTGGTGAAAGTTTTCTCCATGGCTAACTCCATCGTTGGCGTCAACGAGCAGCAAGTGTGTGACCCTCTGCTCTACCTGGCGAAGAACAAACAGCGTTTTAGGGGGAACTTCGTAGAGGACAACCCAGTTTACAGCACTACCATGACTGTGAGAGACACAAACACTCAAACATGTTTTTTCCCCTCCTCTTCCACTCTCCTCATCCTTCTATCAGTTCACTTTCATTAATAAATATCAAAATAATATAAAAATCCTCCAATTAAATAAACAATAAAACACCCACTGTATGTACATACATATTGTATCAGCTGAGGACTCTGTGTTAATTGTATGCTAGTATTTTTTTCACTCTAAATCTTAAAACAGTAAAATAATAACACAGCGGTTCTTTTTTTGGTAATTTTTTTGATGGCGGTGGTGTCTTCTTTCTCTCGGGGTAATTGACATCATGAAACAAGTTCAGTTCAGTTTCAGTTTGCTAGCAGACATCTTTTGAGCAAACTTATATGTCCTCAATACAGGAAGAAATCAGTCCTAGAAGAGACAAGAGAGATGCTTTCCATTCTGGTCTGCTGAGGCGGTATTTTGAAGAAAATGTAAACAAAAGTTAAAATAAAATAGAACTGAAGAAGTCTCTCGGATGAGAGACGAAACGTCCCTGAGTATCTTCAACAAAGCCCAGTTCCCCCTGATTTAAAACCTTCCTTAAATAACTATGACCTGGATGACTGAGAACCATCACAGACATCTAACAGAAAAATTTGGTTTGTGTCTCCAGGGTGGTCTCCGTGGCGATGACCCTGAGACAACCCTGACGGCCTTCGTCCTCATAGCGCTCGCTGAAGCCAAGCAGGCAGGAATCAGCTGCAACGATTTAAACACGAACTTAGAGGTAATTCATGCAAACATATTATCTGCAGAGTTGGTTGTGTCAAGCTGGATTTAATCTTTAGTTAACTTTCGTTTGTTGCCTGTAAAACACTTTTTTACCTCGTTGTTATTGTGATCGGTGGTTTATCAGTAGTATTGTTTACCATATCTGTCTGCTGTAGTTAGTTATCAGTAATACAGCTGGATACCTGAGTAGAGCGCTGGTGAAGACGGGGAGGAGACCGTACACTGTGGCTATCGCCTCCTATGCGCTGGCTCTGCTGGGGAATACTGGACTCTACAACCTGAAACAAATTTTACTGAGTGCTGCAGCTCGAGGTATCCTGTGTACCCCACCCTGTTTCATTTGTACAGTACACAGAATCTTAACTGCAAAGACACTTGTCCCTTTAATAACTGCTTCATTCTATTTATTTTATTTATTTATTGCCAAAATATCAGACCTCTAACCAAAACTATTATCTTAAAACTGAAATATTTGCATTCCTACTATCTGTAATTGCACCTTTCTCTCTAGTCTAGCTCTTATTCAGAGTGAGCAGAGTAAATAAAACGGTAAAGGAAACATTTAACAAACATACAGCATGTAGCCATATAAATTATTTTATACTGAACATACCAAAATTATCCAAATTTTGTTGTTAGTCTTAAAAAAAAAGCTGCAGAGTTGTTTTGTTGGTTAAAGAGTGATAGTATGTTGCTCTTACACAGGCGCTCCCTCCCTCTCTCTCCTCCAGGTGGAAGCCACTGGCCTGACAGTCAGAACAGCTTGTTCACCTTGGAGGCGACCGGCTACGCCCTGCTGGCTCTTGTCAAGTTGGGACACCTGGAGGAAGCTGCACAGCCATTTAAATGGCTGAACAGCCAGAGGAGGAGAGGAGGCGGCTTCGGCTCCACTCAGGTACACGGCAGGGCAGGGCTGGTAGCTGAGCTGTAATCTGCAAATCCAACAGTTTCTTACTGCCTTTTCAAACTTCTCTTGCTCCAGGCTCTGATTAGTGGGTACTGCCTTATGTTGCCTTCACACTTGACTGTTCTGTTACATTATGGTAAATGCAGAAGTTAATTTATACTATTCAGATGAAGCCATGACACACTGTCTGTTATGGACAACAGTTATGTTGAAAATGGATTGAAGGGTATGAGCATGACATTCATTCTCAATCTTTGGGAGCAGTTTCTACATACATATACTCTACATAATCTTAGTTTCCAGCTAATGCAGTCTAATATAGCAGTATTATTTTACAGGATGTAGTTTGTGATGCCGTTGAATTGTATTCCATACAGAGAGTTTGTTTCTGATTTTTAGCCTAACCTCACTGATGTAAATGAGGTGGACAAAATAAAGAAAAGAAACACCCGTCAGTGTAGCACTTTTTGACCTTTCATCTGCATCTCGTAAGTTCAGCACTGATTTATTTTTTCATTTTAGTAGCTTACGTTTTGATTCACAGGAATCTGTGTTCGTAACGGGATTTGTGAGGTTTTTTAACAGCATCTCACAGTATCTCAAAGTTGAAGCCCCAATATAATAACCCAGTCAGGCTAAACGGTCACACAAAGCTGGTTATCAACTCGGTAAATCAACCTGGGTTTCCCAATCAAGCCATCAGCGCGTCCACATATAAGGGCTGATGTTGCCAGTTGCAAATATGGACAAGTCTGTTGGCAACAGAGCGTCATGTTTTTCAAACAAAAAGCAAAGTATAATATTGGACAAATACAAAGAAATTAACACATAATCCAGGTTGAAAGCAACGCAGCAACCAAATGGAGGAGGCCGACTGTGAACGTGTAAGTTAACAGGCTTATAATATCACTGCCCGATCATTAAGGCACGAAGAGGTCTGAATATAATTCCATTTGTGTATTCCACAAAATGAATGAATGCATCGTTTAGACAAATTCTGATGGTCTGTATGACCATTTTAGTCTTATTGTTTCAGCTGCAGCAGCTGTGTGTCAGCACTTCAACAGTAAAATTCGAAAAGCTGGGCATTGAATAAGTGGTCGTTACAGCTGACTTTCAAGAACTTCTCGTCACTTCACAAATCAGAATTAGTTATTTATTTAACACACTCAAAAATGTTCCAAATATTGTTTGAAATTAACTTCATAAAGCAACGAAACAAAAAACAAAAAAATCCATTCATGAGGAAAAAAAAGTGCTCAAATAGTGGTGGAAAGACTATCTTAAAAACTCATATTACCTGCGCCCAAATAGATAAAGGCTGTGTGCTACATGACCCGAATAAAATACTGTATTACTGCAGTCTTTCTTATCAGTTCTGTTTTCCTTCTCTGTCCTCTCTCAGTCCACCATGGTGGTGCTCCAGGCGCTGTCAGAGTACCTGATTAACAAACCTCCTCCTGTTGACCTCAGTCTGGATGTGGATGTAAGGATAAAAGGACGCAAGGAAATCCGCTACCATTTCAACCCCAAGACTGCCTACGCT